GCCAAACTTCTCCGCCTCCCGCCGCGGGCCCGAGGCGAGGGCGCCCTTGGGCCGGCCGGGCCCTGCCGCTCCCCGCCGCGCTCCTTCCCGCTCCGCGCGGCCCCCCGCTCTGCGCGCCAGCCGCCTCCTCCCCGCCGACTCCTCCGGGGCGGTGCGCGGCGGGGGCGGGGCTGCTCGCGGGGCCCCCGCCCCCCAGGCCGCCCGCGGGGAGGGAGGGAGGGAGGAGGGGCGGGAGGGCTGGCTGCGGCCCGCCGGCTCCTGTAGCCTCGGGAGATGGGGCTGCGCTGCCCTCAGCCTGCTCGGCCCGGCCCCGGCTTAGCCATCACTTGGAAGCGGCAGATTGCGCGAAGGGAGCAGGAGCGAGGCTCCCGCGAAGTTGGTCGTGTCAGGGTTAACCGGGACTGAACTGAGAGTGAGGGCTGAGGACTGGGACCCACCAGCCACCCTTACGTCGTCGTTTCTTCACTGCGGTCTTGGGTTCTGGGAGGTCCGAGAAAGCCCAAGAGAGGGGGGAGAGAAGAGTCAGGTGGTCTGGGACCCCACACCCTAACCTTTGCCCTACCGGCATGCATCCCGAGCTGAACGCCCTGCCCAGGCTCCTTGACCCCGCTAAACCCAGGAAAGTGCCCTGCGGGCTGGGGAGGGGGAGACAAAAACTAAACCAAAAAAGCAGAGATGAAGTTAGCAAAGCAGTGAAGGATCCCTAAAGCAGAAGAGCGAGGGCAGTTTACCTGTGGGACAAGCCGTCAGGGGAGACGTTCTTCCAGCATGGCGATGTTTGTGCCGGGCTGGGGTAGATGCTCCCAAAGGGAGGCTCAAGGGCTCAGTCCTGGTTCAGCCCCTCCGCGCAGCCCACGTACAGAACCAAGGCTCTGCCCTCTAGGCTCTTCCCGTCATCGTCGCCCCTCTCCACGTCCTGTCAGAAGGACCTTTTTTAGTATCAGAAGTTGCAACTAACGTCTTCGTTTTTCACAAGACAAACGTAACCGCGTCGTGCAACCCCGGGATCCAACCTGTGACCGTCTCGCCCGGCGCTGATTACTCCCCTTAAACACAGAAGGGAATTAGTTCCGTCCTAATTAGGTGAGTTTGCAACAGACACCAATTTTCATCTCGGCTTCAGAAAGTGTGATCGTTTCAACTATTTTTGTTTCTCACCACCTCCCCCTTCTCTACCAACAAGTCAAGATCCTGCCAAGATTTCCTTGTAAATAAAACTGTCTGCATGGGGGTGTGATTTTTGAAAACAGCCTTCAGGGTAACAGAAAAGAGGCTGAATTCTTTGTGAAAGGGAGCCCATAAGGATAAGCAGCTGCCGGGGGGGGGGGGGGGGGGGGGGGGGGGGGG